ACCCTGGCTTAAGCCAGGTTTCCGATATTGCAAGTATTGAAGGGTTATGAGTATTAATTAAGTGGATTATATCAGGTTTCTTATTCCTGATGCTCCGACAATTCCACTGGAGGAGAGTTAGAGATTCGAACTTTACATATTCTGGAGAAAAGGACATCTTTGCCAACAATATCTGTAAGAGAGGCCACAAGATTTTCTAGAAGATTATTATTAGGAGATATTATATTGCTTTGTAAAGCATGTCCATTGGGAAGAGAGGACGAAGGAGTACTTGTAATGTTATAGTGTGAAACTTTATCATATCCTAGTGAAGATTGCACTGGCATAGATTTGGCTTTATATATAGCTTTCCTATAGGACTGAGAAAGAGACAGAGTAGGAGGGATTATAGATGCCTGAGGAGATGGAAGATGGCTTACAGGAATTTGTGAAGATGCAACACCAGAATAAGGTCTTCTGACAGCCGCGAAACGGGCGGAAGCCTCAAGGTATGATATATTCTCTTGTGACATTACTATCTTGATAGCTTTTTGCCTTGAGTGCTCTGGGCAACTTTTTTCAATAGCTGAATGATTTGCAGAGCAGAAAAGACAGGTTGGGGAATCAGAAGGACAATTATCTCCGGTGTGCTCTTTGCTGCATTTAAAGCATTGTGGTTTCAATCGACATTTGGCTTTGACATGTCCAAAACGGCAACATTTTAAACATTGGATAGTAGGAAGAAGGTAAGTTTCAACTGGTATAGAAGCATAAAAGCAATATACATGGGAGGGGAGCACTTGTCCTGAGAAGGTGAGGACAACAGTTTGAGTTGGAACCCACTCCACTTCATCACCCTTTTGACCTTTCTGTTAAGTCCTCTGGCTTTAATGATTTCTCCTCTGCCAGGAGAGAGCTCGGACTTGCCTACTAATTCCTCCATAGAGATGTCAGTTGGAATACCCCTGATCCCACCCATACGGGTAACATTAAAAGTTGGAGAAAGTCCGAGTCAATAAAATTATTGGCATCAGAAGCAGTTTTAAAAGCAATTGAAACTCTGTTGCGCTCTTAAATTTTGATACCCTGTTTTTCAATATTGGCCACTTTATTTTGAGTAAGGATATGACCAATTTTCACAGGTCTAATTGTATAACCTGCTGATGGATCAGGTTCTGAGCGGCTTAAATGTATAACAAATGGGCCTTTATCGCTATCTACATACTTTTTTATATTGGAAGTCAGTGGACGAATGTATTTTGGTAGGAGGCAGAAGGGTGATCTTCGTGCCCTATTTTTTTCTTAGGGAAGTTGGGTAATGGTAAGGAATCCGTGAGTTTACGTTTAGCATGGCCAGAATCACCGGATAAATCCGGTGGTCCGCATCTCCTCCGTCAACCTCCATTGTCGTCACACAGATCTACATTAACTAAACAAAAAATACTACTCACCTACTAACAAACAGAATACACAGAAAATTGAGAGGTTTTACACAACTTTGAATCGAAAAATAGGTTAAAAACTTATTTCAATACAAAAACACGTGTAACCACCAATCACTCTGACAGCAGAATCCTAGATATATGTCAATTGTAAATGATAATATAATTATGTCCAACAACAGACATTATCGAGCGGGTCTCACAGATCATAGAGTACTGAAACTCGAAATGATCTGTCTGGCTGTCGAGCACCAATCCCAGGCTGGCCGCAGAGATAACAGAGGTCACTACGGTCAACCTCGGCGGTGCACTTCGCCCGGACGTGCCCCTTTTTCCAGCTACCGGAAACACTGCAAAGCCCGGGGCTGCAGTAGCTTGGTCCTTGCCGCCACCCAACCTACCAGCAATCTGCCGTTATCTGCGATCTTCTTTGCCAACGCTACAGGGCACCGAACCCAGACCGCGCCAAATCCGGTGGCATCAGTGCGTATATCGCCGGCCCGCACCTTGTCCGGCAGACACTCTCCGCTTCTAGCAACGGCCGCCACCACCTCCTCAGAGGTCACGGAGTCGTCCAGGCCAGCAATCGGCACTTCTGCGGTTTTCATTGGTCTGGAGACCCGGACGTCCTCAGGGTTGAGGACCTCCCTCATCTTGGCGGCCATGGCGTCCGCCTTTTGTAAACATTTTGATCTCCTCTCAGCATCCTGGTACGTCACGCCACGCTCCACAGCTCCGGGCTGCAATGTTAGCGTCACCGCATTGGACCGCGGAACACGCACAGCCGGTTTCTTGCGACCGCCTTTGGCAGTCCGCCGCGCAGGTTGAGGAGCCGTCTTTGCGGTTCCACCTGGGGCACGTGCAGCCGCTGCGGTCTTCTGGGCGGCTTTGCGGGCCTTCTTGCGGCCCACGACTTTCGCCCATGTCTCACTCTTAGACCCGGCTGTCGTGAGCTGGTCGCTCGGAGGAGTTCCCTCCGCGGGCTTTTTGTTACCTTCCGCGGGCTTCCCCTTTTGAGGCGTAAGTCTCGGCGGCTCCTCAGTCCTCCGCGTATCAGCCGCCAAAGGCGGACGAGGGATTTCCGCCGGGAGACGCCGATAAATCGCCTCCAGCTGAGCGTTAACCATGCTCCCGCACTGGAGCATGCAGAGCTGGACAATGCGCTCGACCTCTTCGTCGGTACGAGGGCTTGCCCCCCGTGCGGGAGTCGGGGCCACTTCAGGGGCGGCATCGGTGGACGTGCATCTCTGCTGCTGCTCGCTCATCGCAGTGACTTGCCCTCGGAGGTCCTTGAAGGTTTTCCTCCTGTAGCTTTGCGACCTCGTCAGAGGCCGTCTTGTTGAGGAGGATGCCAACCGCCTCCCTGATATCCGCGGCAGCGTCCTTTAAGCCACGGGTGAACGTGCCCTTCAAGCTGCCAGACTTGGTGACAACTTTCAGGACTAAGTCCACCCCATCCAGAGCCAGCTGGCTCAAGGCCACCACAGATGGCTCTCCTTCTTCCGCCGCCAGAGCAGCTCGTCGTTCGCGAGCGCGTCGGGCCATTTCAGACACTTCATCGGCTGCGACGGCTTTGCGCTGTTCCCTCTTTGCGGCGTTGAGCTCCGCCTTTGTACTCCCCAGCGTGGCACAGCTTTCACCGCCATCGCCAGGGTCCTCCGTAGTGACCCCCATGTCACTCTGCTTCACTAGCCGCCGAGGTATTGGAGCACACGAACCGTCCGTGCTTATCCCTCCGCGGCTGCAAAGCACTCACCCTTCTCGATGCCTGCCGAACCCTCCTCGAAGTCGCCAACTTGGGGGCAGGCCTTCCTCGTCCGAAGACCGGCACACTGGACGTTTCCTAGCGGAAAACGTCCCACGCCGCCGATTTCCACCGCTTCCAGTATCATCCATCCTGTTTGACTATTTCTACATTTTTAAAAGATTTACCCATTTTTTTCCCACGAGCGTCGAGAAAGTAACGGTCCATCCGAGCAGCGCCTCCTTTGCCCGGGTAAGCCTATGCGTAATCCATCAAGGGTGTCGGCCGGTACCCTGACGGGGGGCAACGCTAACGACTGATCATTTACCCATCAGCCATGCAGCTCCTCACGGCGTGCCACGCTTGAGCTTGGGGTGATTTTTTATAGAGGTTATCATCCTCGTGACTCCAGACGGTTAAGCCAAGAGCCATCGGCCCCTCAGGCGCCGCGAGACATGATCCACGACACGCCAAAGGTATTCCGAGGTTCGAACGGTGGCAGAGTCGATACGAGTTCTTCCCATGCCTGCCCAGAGACCGGGTGAGGAAACTCTGAGCCCATTCAATTCCCGCGATGACGGGTTGCCCGGCGTCGGCAAGAGCCGAGTGCATCTGGCATCTCACCGTGCATGTCACATCCTCTGTTCCTCTCAATGGAGAGGATACGGGAAGCACCTAGCAGGAACTTGATTCCATTCGAAACGAAAGGTACGCCCAAACCCAGCCAGTTTTGGTCCGCGAAGTTTTCCCGCTACCACTCATATCTAAGTGGCGTTCCCTTATCCGCCACCTGGGGACGCGCCCGTTAGTAGGACTGGCAATTCCACACGGGACTATTGTAAGTTATTTGCCACCTACTGTAAGTTATTTGTACTGTGCCTATAACCTTCGCACAAGTCGAATCAATAAGTTAACAAAGTTGTACCGCAATGTGATGAATGGTAGGCCAGCACATAAAATATGAACAAACAAATATAATTTTTTATATATTAGAAGATCACAAAACTATAAGTAACACTCTGGAGCTGTCTCACATCAACGTAAGCAAGTCCTTACCATCCCTCACAGGTATTGATATTAAAACAGCTATGAGGGCGAGATCTCATGGTTTATTCTACGAACAGAAATGTAATATCTAGAAACAAACATTCCTTTTTATAGAGGTAAGCATAGAATACTATAATATATAGATAATAGAACAGGGGAGTCGGCGAAGCCCGCGTAGCCACTAAAATGTCACTAACACGTCAATTCTCATGTATAAATGTCAACACGAGATGTGTTTGACGTTACAATCGTTTCCAAGTTTCGCATGCAAATTATTTAGAAAATGCCCAATTGCACCCTATTTACAAATAAATATGTATTAAAATTTTATCGATTTTTTTAATGATGATCTTGAACATTAATCAAAAGACAGAAAGTAAAAAAATGTGAAAAATTTACTCAGTCTGTCAACACAGCGATTCGGGTTTGGCGACGCCAATCCTCGTACAAAATAAAGTTGACAGCCATTCTATTGTGTATTACTCTACTAGTACTGTAGTACTCTATGGAAGTAAGGGTGAAAAGTGAGCCACATATCAAAATGCAAATGTGTTGTCATCCCTCATCACTCTGATGGGATGTCTCATTACAAGTAAAAAGGGCATCCGGGTCTCTACATTTACCATACAAAATACAGCAACATTATGATGGTATTCTGAGAGAGTGTGGTCCTTCTTGAGTCAAGCTCACTTATATATGCTGCAACCATAATATAGATGTGGGGTGGCTTTACCACATAAAGAGAAAAGTCAAAATTTAAAAATTAAATGCTCATATTTTATTTTCAGGTAGCACGAAGTTACGGTGTACCCTTTGTAGAGACATCAGCCAAGACACGAATGGGCGTCGATGATGCCTTCTACACCCTAGTTCGAGAAATCCGCAAAGACAAGGAGAGCCGCGGCAAAAAGTATAGGAGAGGGAACAAGATCGGCTCACGGCGGAGGATCAAGTGTGAACTACTCTAAAGTTATGGTTATAGGAAATAAGTTTGCGAATGAAATATTCAATTCATTATCTTTCGAGTTCCAATGTTAATGAATCATTAACCAATCGATTATATTGGTTATGAGATGTATTAGAAAGTCAATACATTCACGACTTGGTACCTCTTACAGATACTTTATGAATATTATGTACCGTGATTTTAATTGCTGGCCACATTGTGTTTCATTTAAATTAAAAATGCAAATTTTTTAAGTGTTGGTCAGCTGATATAAAATATATTGTAAATTCACATATTTTAGATTGCAATATAAAGGCTTTTCGACTTCAAAACAAAAAAGGAGCAATCAAAAAAATATCAAATGAGCAGCAGGTCAGTTTAAATTGACTAAATCTAAATCTAACTAAATTTGAAAAAAGTCGAAACGGATTTTGAATAAGAATTGCTAAATTGATCGGTACCTTTTTAATTTGCTTACATGAGTTTGTAATACGAAGGACAAGGAATTCTATAGTCTGTTCAAAGGATAGTGTTGGTACACCCGGATGCGCCCTGATTATTTTGCTTTTATTATTTTTTACTAAGTTTGTTAAATAAATGTTTTATATTGTAAGAATAATATAGAATACTATTTTATGGTTATTGTAATAAAATACGAATATAAATAATAAACACTACAATTAACCTTTCACTACGGCACTTAATATTAAAATGCAAAATTCTCCTGCCAGTGTACGCCGCACGCCTTTGACAAGATGCTGCACGCCTTTGACAAGATGCTGCACGTGCCAAGATGGCGTGACACAAAGGCGACAGTATTTAAAAGAACAGACTATATGTTAATAAGTAACCAATCTTTCAATTTGCTTAAAAACTTTGTTTGACTTATTAGAAGCTTATATTATAATTATTCGTCAATTATTTTTCACTATTTCTGTTACTAAGTGAATTACAACAAATCTTTCCAATCTAGAGGCCTTTATCGAGCTGTGAATTGCTTATAGGATGTGGATGATGAAGTGGATACAGCAATTAATCCTATTTACCTACATAGGTATTTACGTTTTTGATTTTTTTTACCTTTTTAATTACAGGTTCAATGAATATCAAAGTTTACATTAAGTACATGGATTTGTACAAATATTTCTACATGATACATGTGTATCATGAAATATGATATAAAGCAAGGAGTGGAAAATTTAATGAATTATAACATAACAAAGTTAATGTGCCAAAGATTCTGTAAAGTTAAGAAAATTGAGACAAGTTAACAATCAAGGCCAGAAAAGGCCATTAAAGAAATCTCTTGGCCGCAGCATGTTCACAAACATCTCTTTACAGACTGCAAATATTTTGGTAGGACTATATTATTTTACAACAACACACAAATCGTCGTCGAATTTCAAAGAGACGAGACTTGAGATGGCACTCACAAATTTTATAGATTGTATAAATAATTTAGTGTTGCCATGTGTTGTGTTGTTAGTAATACAATCGTCAATAATAGAAATGGACTGCAAAAAATCTTTATTTAGGAGTACAATATAATCTCACTAATCCGGCACTATTGAAAACCAGAGGGTGCCGGATTATTGGAATGTTCGGAGTACTGGATTATAGAGAAAAAATCATAATGAATAAAATAAAGCATTATTTCATAGAGAGAATACATAATGTAATTACATAGTTTTAAAATAACACTTAATTGAGGTCTGCTTTTGTTGCAACTTGTAGTCCGTGCTTAAAAACCTTTTCTCGCGTGTTTCAAAGAATTATAATATCTTTGGCAGATTGCCGTTTTCTTCTGTCCGTGTTATGCTGGTATTGAAACAAGTTGTAGTAGTTGGTGGCTCCAATATTTCTACAAAGCTTTCTTCTTCTTGTACTGCTTCACGTGTGTCTTCATCTGTCATAATTTTCTGTTTCTTCGTTCCCCTTGAACCGGGCGCAGGGTGCCGGATTATTGGACGTGTCGGTCTATTGAAGTGCCGGATTAGTGAAATTTTGTATTTTGAAAAAAACAATTTTCACTATATTACTTTCTACTCTAACCGCATCCATTAAAATCATCACCATAACTCACATAAGAAACAGTTTCCAGTGACTATATAATTTTTACATTCATTGTGTGTTACAAATTATTTAGAACGGCAATTTTATGTAAGCCAATTCTGTCATCTATATAAGTCTACAACACAGATGCATTGAGAGCTAAAAATTTTCCACTCACCAGATGTCGCTTGTTAGAACTGAAGTGAAGTTATTTGTTTCCTACAGCATCATCATTGTTAAAATTATTTACGAACGGCAATTTTATGTAAGCCAAGTCTGTCATCTATATAAGTCTACAACACAGTTGCATTGAGAGCAAAAAATTTTCCACTCGCCAGATGTCGTTAGTTACAACTGAGGTGAAGTTGTTTGTGTCCCACAGCGTTATATTAGTTAAAAAGTTGTGATCGAAGGACAACCACAACCTCATTCAGTAGGTTTAACTTTTATAGTTTTCGATTAGTGGTAACGTTTATAGAAAATTAACTAGAGCTTGTTGGTCTGAAGTGAAATCGACGCACAAAAATCTTGGTATGATTCCATTGTCTGGTCTCTCTTTTGCAATTCCCACAAGGATGGCACTTTTATGCTATTTTGTGTTTATCGCAGTCCTGATCTTAAAACATTTCTTTAAATATCTTTTTATTCGTTATAACTATAAGTTGAAGTGCGGACACATTTAGTTTTAGCGGGCTGCAACAACTAGATGCAGACAAATGCGGTTGGTATGTAACTTAGGATTGGGTTTGTCCGCGGCTTTTGGGTGGCACATCAATCAACTTTCATAGTCATTTTAATTATTTTTTGAACTTTACTATACCTAGTTATATCCAAAACAACCGGCCACACCTAGTTTTGCGAACACGCCTAAGTTTAATTACGGATGGTTAAGCCACTTTGCACCTAGTTTAAACCGGCTAAACCTTGGTGTACACACATGGCTTTTAGTTGCGACATTTACTAGAAAAGCCAAATAAGGTTAACGCATTTGTTGTGTAAATGTATTAAGCTATATAATGGTATTAAAAGAATTATATATAGTGTATTCATTCTCCATACTTTTTAATATAAATTGTCGTAATTGAGCAAAATCTAAATAGAGAGGGCTTGCATTGCTTATAATTATTTAAGTGTATTTTTGTTGTTATGTACTCTATTTAATTAACCGAAAAATTGAATATAACGTAAATAGATCCACTAGTTAGATCACATAGACCAGACATCTTAAACAACATCTTATGAAATACTTTTATATAAAATGTTAAGAAATCTTTAAAAATTGAAACAACTCACGTAAGCAAATTAATTTATAGGATCCGGTGTCGAAAGCAAATATTATAAATAAAGTATGTAGATAGGTGTCGCAGAAATTAATAAAAATTAAAATTTTTAACTATTATTTCAATTTCTTAAATAAATAATTTAGTTTGTAAGAGTCGTTGTTGAATGTTTTCTACTTTAGCTAAATTGTATGAAAGATGAGATTTTCTTAAATTTTCTACTGCCAATGCTGTTTTCTTATGATATTTGATTGTATAGTTGAATATAACACAAAATAACTGTGTTAAATATAATTTTTTTTCTCACTTATTTTTAAAATTATAAGAATTCAGAATCTAGATATACAGGCAGTTAGGGTTGCCAATACTGCTATATAATATTGAGGATCCAAACCATAGAATACTATAATACATACATAATAGAACGGGGGAGTGGGCTGAGCCCGTGTAGCTACTGAAATGCCACTAACACGTCAATTCACACGTATGAATGTCAATACGAGATGTGTTTTGACGTTACAATCATTTCCAAATTTCGCATGCAAATTATTTAGAAAATGCCAAATTGCACGCTATTTACAAATAAATATGTATTAAAATCTGTCTGCCAACACAGCGAATCAGGTTTGTAGTAGTGATTAACTGATAATACGACGTAATTGCTTGTATGTGTGCTCCCGGCGACGCTTATTCTCGTACAAAAAAAGGTTGACAGCCATTCTATTGTGTATTATAGTTATAGTATTGTATGATCCACACACTATATTTCTTAAAAAATACGTAGTAGTCTAAACTACTATATTTTATTAAGCTTAAAGCTGTTGCTTTAAAATATGAATTATCAATTTACGACATCATTATCATAATTTTTAAACAGCCTTTCACAATCCCACTGCTGGACATCGGTCACCCTAAAAAACGCTACAAAACACGCTCTCGGTTCACCTGCATCCATCGGCTTCCTGCATGTTTAACCTAATCGTACGCCATCTGTTAAAACATACATACTACCTGCTTATTTTTATATTTTAGCCCTAACTATTATATTTTTAAGGTAAAAGTCTCGAAAATACTATAATTGAAATTAAAAAGTTGGCAACCCTACACTGCCTGACAGTACACTACAGTAACTGTAGATAAAAAAATATTATCAGATATAAAATTTAAGCTTTAAACTTAACAATTTTCAATTATAAATCTTAATTCTAAATCTCTATAATCAAAATATCTATTTAAAAATATATTATTTGTTTGAAATTCCAAGTAAAATTTTTCAAATTCATTTAAATTTTAAAACCTTGTAATGACGGTTACATGCATCTACTTTCTACATTAAATATTTATTACATATTAAGAAAAAAATATAAATAAAACTATTGTCATCAATTAGAATATATTACGATAAGAGTTTTGTCCTACCTAAACCATTAGTAACTTTACATTACAAGCGCACATTGTAGTTAAAAGAACCGTTGACGCAACTTTTTATGCTAATTTAAGGTTTTGGTTAGTGTCTTGCCTTTCGTCCGGTCCTAATTTAACCAACTGTATGGTGCTCGTTTAACAGAATTATGTAATGAAACTTCAAACTTAAAACTTCCTATCGTAAATATTTTAAAGTACAAACCCAGTAAGTAATATGTATTATTTAGAAACAATTCGCAAGCTACGTAGAATATGTGTAACTTAG